CTTCTTCTTGAAGGTGTCAGTCACAGCAATGACACTGAAGCAGAAGTACAAAGATGAGAAATATAAGAGAAAAAAGCCTAGCTTACTTGTTTTATCTTTCCTTTTGAGTAGGAGACAGGTAAGGTGAGTAGTCAAAATTAGTTGAGATGTTGCTTGCAGAAGCATGAGAAAGAGAGGCCTTGGCATGGGGTTAAAACAACATGCAAACATTAATATTGGCAGATTAATCATATACTGTCTGGTTTAGCAGTAACTGCAAGAGATGCAGCAATAGTAAGCCACTGGGAGAACAGGCCTCCTGAGGTTTGGCACATTGGATTGTGCAGCCTAGGAGTATGAATGCTGGAGACGGAAAGGTTCCTTAAGCCATGAAGTGGTGAAGGTGCCCAGCCAGACTAGCCCTGAAGGACTGACTTGCAGGAGACACTGGAGCTATATCAGAGTCAGCATGGCTGGACTTGGTAAGAGAGGGGCAGAGGGATCCAAGGCTCATGCTTTTAAACCTGACATGGTGTTCTGTGACAGGGATGAGTAGTCCCTCTGCAATATTCCAGCTGTGCTTCTGCTGAGACCGGTTCCTGCAAAAGGACCAGCAAAGACAAAGTGACACTGACCAAGATTACAACAGAAAATTGTCTCTTCTGTATGTGCAGAAAGGTTGGGACTCCTGAGAAAAAAAATACAAAAAAGAGAAAGAGGAGAATGAAATCAGAGAGAAGGCACTGACAAATGAAAGTGGAAGTTACCACAGCTGAATACATTATTGATCTGGTACAGTGCCCGTAGTGCATACTGATCCTGACACATATTTTTCCATATGTCTATTTAGTTAGCTACTCCAAGGCTTTAATGTCTGTTCAGCGCAGTTCAGAAGTACTACCACTTGCGATTGCACCACATTGTGAAATCTGTGCAAGCTGGGAAGAGAACAGCATGGAAGCAGATAAATGTTATATTTGTGTTCCATTTGGTCTCATGCTGTTCTTATTTTCAAACAGGTGACTCGGGCATTAGAAATTCCCCTTTACAACATTGTTAGGGAAGCTGCAAGCTGTATAGAAGTACTGCCACAGAGCGGGTGGGGAAGAGGGCATGGTAGCAAAAAGAAGCATAAGATTTTATCCTGGATGCACGCAGCACCTTGTTAGTCTTTTTGGAATCAATGAAGTATGGGGGCATATTAACATATACAAGCAAGTCTGCCCCCAGCATTATTGCAGAATAAATGTCCGTAATTCAAAACTTCTCTTCTTAAATAACATGGTGTATTTATATAGCACCGCCAGCCCAGTGAAGGTCTCTCTTTTTCTGTTAGGTAGATAGATAGTGAATGACAGTTTTCCAAATAAAGAGTGGTAGATGGATGGACAGAAACATCCAAAGCCAAATCAGCAGCTAGTTGATGGCCTGGAGTAAATCTCATGACTACTTGACTCCCACGCAGACACAACTTCTTTTATAGTGTCTGCAAGCTTAAACTGCAGCATTTTCTTATGGAGAATAGTGTGTGGAGAGGGGAAGATACCCAACTGCATTAATGCCAGAGAATTACAGAGTTATGATCACAGTAATCAAAATGCAGAGCTGCTGGTGCAGAGTTTGGTCTTCCATCACTTCCAGCACTCTCGAGATTCTGATGTTTTCCATCACTGCCTTTTAGATTTGCAGATTGTTCACTTTCTCCTGGTGCTGTCCCTCATGCACAGTTTCTTCATAGCTGTGCAGAACAAAGAGGAAAGCTTGATACAACTGTACTATTCGTGCATCATAACATTTGTATGTGTAGATTTACTTAGCTATTCCCCTAAGGTTTCAGACATCATGATATTAACAAGCACAAGCATGGTATGAGAACACCAGCGACATATGTTTATATCCTGCGTTCACAAATAAGATCCTATCTCACAGTTGTTAGTACCTAAACCTTAATTAACACTAAAGACTTCTCAAGACATCAGTATAGTCTCTCATCTCTCTCTTT